GCGGGTGCCCGCGCTGTCCCCATCGCCCCCCGGGTAACGGGCCTCCCGCCCCTCGCAGGATCCCCTGGTTCCAGTACCCCATCATCTACGACATTCGAGCCCGGCCACGGAAAATTTCCTCCCCCACCGGCTCCAAAGGTGAGAGCGGCCCCGCAGGCCGGAGCACGGGGTGGGAGGGGGCGGGAGTCCGGCTGCGGCGCTGGCCCTGCTCAAGTCTCTTTCTCCTCTTCAGATTTGCAGATGGTGAACATTTCGCTGCGTGTTCTCACACGCCCCAATGCTGCAGAGCTGCCCAGTATGTACCAGCGCCTGGGCCTGGACTACGAGGAGCGAGTCCTGCCTTCCATTGTTAACGAAGTGCTCAAGAGCGTGGTAGCCAAGTTTAACGCTTCACAGCTCATCACTCAGAGAGCCCAGGTGAACTTTTCTGGAGGAAACTTACACTCAGATTGCAAAGAAAGAATTAAACTGTGGATATGGGGAACGTTCTAACAGATGAAGGGTAAATATATTAGACTGGTGGATGATGCATCCAAACAGAAAGGGCGTGGAACTGTATCCCGCTTACAGTTTGATTCCAATACCGATACAAAGACTAAGGCTGCACCACTAGCTTCTGAGAAGAAAACGGGATTAATTGGTACATAGAATGCAAAAATGCACCATAATGTAATGATGGGGGAGGGAGACCTGACTTACACCATCATCTACAGGTAACAGTAGAACTGGCTTTAAAAAAACAAATGTCTGGCCCTTCATGGGTCTCAGAAGAGCTGTCAGAGCAAGTCAAACAGTTCTAAACAATCTGAAAAACAAAGTAGATGAGCAGTTAACAAAGCAGTAAATTTTCAATAATGGGTGCTACAGAAGGGTAGCAAATATTTCTGTTTAGAGAAAGATTAGAGAGTAATCTGGGTGGGTTACAAAATAATAGAAATATTTAGCTTATAAAAGCTTGTACCTGAAAGCTTGTCTTCTGGTAATTTGCTTGCCAGGGATTCTGAGAATATATGTCACCTACGACAGCTGAGGCAGAGAAGTTGCTGATCTTCTAAAAGGCTTTAGAGGAGATCCTGCATGAGACTGCTAAAGAGGACAAATTGTCAGAAAGATTTTCATCTCTTAACAATCATCTCTTAACTAGCTGCTGATCCATGACAAGAAAAAAAGCAAAGAGTAGAACTAAGTGTCCAGGTCTTGTTGTGAGAACTGATTCACAGCAGGGACTTCAGGGTTTTGTGCTAGGCCACATGCTGTGCACTGAAGGGATTTTTTAATGGTCTTGTATAAAGAGAATGAGTGGAAAAGGGAGGATGTAACAGCAAAGAAACAATGTCTACAGGGGATTTAGGTTTAGTGGAAGCAATGAAGACTTCAGTATCTCTGAAATTTCTGAACAAACTGACTTGAATTTGCCTTCTTGTCATATATTCATCTAGTGTTCGTTATTGTGATGTATATTGAAGCAATTGATAATCAGAAGAAAATTAAGTGACTTTACATAGTTACGTACTCGCAGTTCACTCAGGAAAGGATTCAGGCATCATTTTACAATTCTGCCCAGAAACAGCTGCAGTAAAAGTAGCAGCAAATGCTAGACTGGTCAAGGATGTGATACTGTAGCAATAATTCTGTTTATGTCAATATTTGGTGCAGGACTCCTCAGCCTGCCTAAAAACGATACTGGCAAGTTAAAGATAACTCAGAAGTGAATAAATCAAAAGATCTACCAACAACACTCATCCACTGAAAAAGTGGAGTAGCCACACTACACAAGTAGCTACAGTAATTAAGAAATGTGATGCATCTACAATGTGTAGTAGTGGGGGGTGATGATTTTATTTTCTTACTCTGAATACAAATACAAAGAGACAGTCAAACTGCAAACAGCGGCAAATCCAAGATGGAGAACGAAATACATGCTGCCAAAACGTGCAGGAACTGTGGAACTAGATGTGATAACACGTGAAAGCAAAAAAACTTCCAGGAAGTTTTTATTTTTTGCAGTATTAATTGTATAGTACAGTAAAGTGATAACTATAAATAAGCTCTAATATACTTTTGAAAATGTGGTAGGTAGCTACGGATATGCAGCGTTCTTTAGAGGCAGCAGATTCAGAGATGGTATTAATGTTTAGGGTTTGGTTTAGGTAACGTCTCTTGGGCCCGATGTGAATGAACTGTGAAGAGCAGTTGTGCTTCACTTTTGGAGTGCACAGGAAGTGAGAAGCAGCCTGTGTTTGGTACTGGTTTTGCTATTATTTGTGTTTCAGGTGTCTCTGCTCATTAGACGAGAACTGACGGAGCGAGCCAAGGATTTCAGCCTCATCCTGGATGATGTGGCTATCACAGAGCTTAGTTTCAGTCGTGAATACACAGCAGCTGTGGAGGCTAAGCAAGTGGGTGAGTTCAGTTTCTGCCTGGAAAGGGTGGATTGCCTTTGCCTTTTCATAGAATTATTAAACAAGGAAGCAGAATTTGGGCTAGTGTGTCATTGCTTTTGTATTGATGCAGCTACAGAGTTATAAATCTCAGCCACCTTAGTAATGGTGCTAAACAGGTTATTTTACAAGTATTATCAGAAAACTTTGGGTCATAGCTCATGGGATCGACCATCAGTTGGACTGAGTTCCCAAGACTGTAGGGTTCCTTTTCAGACTGGGGCTCTCTCCCTTACTGTGGGGATTATGTTTAGAGGGCCTGGATGCTGTTGATTTTATTTAAGAAAAAGTAAAGTATGCCTAGATACATTTCTTGTTTGTGGTTATGGCACCAGAATGCCATCAGTTCTTTCGAAAGCGGAGCCCCCAGGCCTCAGCTGTAGGCTTCTGGTGGAGGGCTCAGAAAATGGGATCTGGTTCAAATGCTTTTGGCCGTTCTCTCTGCAGCCCAGCAGGAGGCACAGCGTGCACAGTTCCTAGTGGAGAAGGCCAAGCAGGAGCAGAAACAGAAGATTGTCCAGGCTGAAGGGGAAGCTACAGCTGCCAAGATGATATCCTGCTTTGGGAGATTTTGTGGGATGGGGCTTGTGAGCTTGGCAGTCTCCTGAGAATCTGTCACATTGGGCTCATGCTTAGGAGAGTGTTATCAGGTGATAGCTTCAAGTGGGTCACTTTTTTTTTTTACTTTTTTTTTCTTCTTTTTTTTTTTTTTCCTACAGTTGGCTGGAGTGAGATTGCAGGTCAGAGCAGAGGCCACAAGCCTTCATTCCCTGTTCTAAGGTTTAACTTTTATTGGCTGTATGTGACCATAATCCATAATGTTGTTCTTGATTTGAGGAAGTAAAAATATGCCTGCCAAAAGGCCCGAGTTATTGGGATAGAGATTGCTAAGGTATTTGATGATATGGCTTAGGAAGAATTCCTTGAGGGTAGGTAACTTCTCTTAGCAGATTTTTCCTTAACTTTTGCTCTCCTGTACCTCGGTGAAGCTCTGAGCAGGAATCCAGGCTACATCAAGCTACGTAAGATCCGAGCTGCTCAAAACATCTCAAAAACGGTGAGCAATGAGGCACAGAATTTCCTTTGTCCTTGTGCTGTTCTCCCAGCCCAGTGGCCACATGATGAATTTAAGGCGAATGTGACCTGCCCTGTCCTGATCTTTGTTCTCCTCAAGTAGAGCTTGAGATTTAACTTGCAATGATCGGCAATTAGATGTGAGGCTAGGAGTTCGTGCCCTCTGTATGACAAGGCCAGATCCACATCAGATTCCATCACCTACACTCAGCTGCAGCCACCAAAAGCTCCTGGTTTCCTGCAGGCTGAGCAAAGGGAACAGATAAGCTTGGGGTCAAAGGTCTGTCTGACAGGGAGACAGAATGAGCGCTTCTTTTAGAAAGTCTGATGGCGCTGGGATGGGAATTCAGGAAGTTACAGAGTTGTTCTGGGGAATTGCATTGATTTAACTGAGATCTTAAGTGAATAAAACAAGAGTGCTGTGTCTGGAGGGGGTTATAGGTTCTTTATTAGGGCTGTTCCTTCATGTGCATATATACTTATGTTTGCCATCTCTGTAATGGTTTTCTTTTTCAGATTGCTGGCTCACAAAACCGTGTGTATCTCACAGCGGATAACTTGGTACTGAACCTGCAGGATGAGGGCTTCACCAGGTAAAGGGGCCAGATGGCTGGATTTATCTGCACCCTACCTGTGAAGCTGGTCCCCTTTCGGGAGCGCTCTCAGGATATTTTCTCTGAGAGAAGCCTGATGCCAGAGGACACAGACAAGTAGGGAGCAGTCTTACTTACTGTGGAAATTGATATTTTGTTAAATCTAATCAATTTACTCTTGTTTTTCTTCCTTCCCCTATTACTGCATCTCCTGACACACAGAGGAAGGTAAGGCACTGTTTATTTTGATCCTTTTTGTTAGTACTTGGAACAAGGGTGTTGATGTTTGCCTGGTGCCTGGGATGTCTCTGGCTTGAGTCTTTCTGGCCACAGGAAGTTTATTCCACCTCTATCTCAGTTCCCACTTGTGATGTGAAGCTTGAAGCCTTCCTTGCAGGGGCCACACAAACATTTGCATCGAGTAGGAGGTGCTCAGTAATTGGAGCTCTGTGTGTGTCCCATAAAGAACCTTGCATGGGGAAGGCAGGAGTAACTGAGGAGCGTCCTCTGATCTGTCCCACGTGTACAGGGCATCCTGCATTTGCGGCAGAAGGCTTTAAGAAGGCATTTAGATGACCGTAGGAATTTGTGTTGCTTTGGGGTAACGATCTCTAGGGAAGATGTTCCTGTTACTCTCCAAAAGCTTTCCAGCCCGTGCTAGAAAACCCCATTCCCTGCTTTCAGGGCTGGGAGGAGTTTGGTGACTTTGTCCAATCTGTCCACTGTTTACTGGACAAGGCAGCGCCAGCTGAGCTAATAGCATGCGGCTAAAAGTTTAGATTCCTTACAGTCAAGAAAGGAAGCCAGAGTTGGTTTCTTTTCTGTGGGATCTCTGATTGTAAGATCTTTCTTCCTTACCTCTGACCAAATTCTGTGTCTTATTCATCCCAGGAGGCTCAAGGGTCTTTGAGAAAAGTATGTAGTAGGACAGACTTGGAAGTCCATATCCTTTGAGGGTGACACCCTGCGCCCCCAAGTCTGTAGCAGGGGTCTGGTTTGACTTGGGTTTGTGCTTTCTGGAGTAATGACTCACTTCTGTCTCCCTTTCAGTGACAGTCTCCTACTCAAACAAGGGAAGAAATGAAAGAAACTAAAGCCTGCTAGAACCACCGGCGCTGACCAGCAGAAGATATGAGTGAGGAAGCTTTGAACTCCCTCCACTAGTATTGTTTGCCCTCACTTTGAAGTTGTTAATCCAGTAGCCAGATTTGGTTCCCATGCCCCTGCTCCATCTGTGCTGATCCAGTTATGGGATTGGGCTCTGCCATTAGGAAGCTGTAATCCCTTTCTCACCCCACCAGTTAAATTTGGGGAGGGGGCAAGGGTGCTTACTGGTATTAACCCATGTGGATATAGTAATCGACCTCTAATCTTGATTTTTAGATTTCTGTAGGGTAAAATCAGAATTCTTTTTGGCCAAGCGAGGGAGTTCTGCTGCCATCAGCACCAGGCTTTTTTTTGAGTAAATTTTGTTTCTCTTTCACTCTTGATCCCAAGAGAACCTGGGACTGAATTCAAGAAAATGTCATTCATTGGGTGCCTGTCACTGCTGGAATATCTTTATGTCACTGTCTGCTCAGTGATTCTTTCAAACATTTGTAAAAATTAAACCCCCTGAAATTTATACTGTGTCCAAGTGTGTTTAGTGCCAGAAGAAGAGGTTATTTTCTATGGGGGAGGTGGAATAGAGTTTTTATTTGGTTGAAGGCAGAATTGGGATGTTGCGGGGGAAAGGAGCAAGGGAAATAACCTCCTGTTCATTGAGAAATCACAGGGCAGGGAGAGAATGAGCAGATGCGAATGCTCATATAGCTTCATGGGTGACCAAGGCCCGTTTCTTAGCTGCCTGTAGATGCTGGAGGTGACCACAGGCTTACCTGCTTTTCCATGTCACAGCAGCATGTATGTACTATGTCCTGACTTCCGTTGTTAGAGCTTGTTTTTGCCCCCCCCCGCATTCCTGGCCAAAAGTATAGGAGAAATCTTCCTCCACTGACTAACTCTTCTGTGCTTGGTTTACCAAGGCACAGTCTTGTCTGCTTCAGGGGCCAGCTTTTTCCCTGTCTCACTGGGCTGCCCTATACCAGATTTAGGACTTGGGAGATTTCACAGAATCATAGAATCGTAAAATATCCTGAGTCAGAAGAGACCCACAAGTATCATTGAGTCCAACTCCTCACTGCCCACAGGGCAACCTAAAAGTTAAACCATGGATAAGAGCATTGCCTAAACGCATCTTGAACACAGACAGGCTTGGGGCCATGACCACTTTCCTGGGGAGTTTGACCACCCTCTCAATGAAGAACTTTTTCCTAATATCCAATCTGAACTTCCCCTGATGCAGCTTTAAGCCATTCCCTTGTGTCCTGTTGCAGGACACCAAGAGAAGAGATCAGGGCCTCCCCCTCTCCTTTACCTCATGAGGAAGTTGTAGACAGCATTGGGGTCAGCCATCAGTCTCCTCTAAACTGAACAACCCTAGCTGCTCCTCAGAATTCGTTCACCATCTTTGTTGCCCTCCTTTGGACATGTATTTTTATATCCTCCTTGCATTGTGGAGCCCAAAACTACACATGGTACTTGAGGTGAGGCTGGACCAATGCTGAGCATAGCAGGACCATTGCTTTTGACCAGTTAACTATACCGTGCCTATTGCACCCCAGGATAACGTTGGCCCTTTTGCCTCCCAGGGCACGTTGTTGACGCATTGACCTTGCCATTGACTAAAACGCCCAGATCCCTTTCCGCAGCGCTGCACTCCAGCCTCTTGTCCCCCGGTCCATATGTACATCCAAGATTACACCAATCCAGGTGCAGAATCTGACATTTGTTCTTGTTGAGTTTCATACAGTTGGTGATTGCTCAGCATGGTGATCTATCAAGATCTCTCTGTAAAGCCTCTGTCCTCTTGAGGGAATAACAGCTCCTCCTAATTTAGTATTGTTGGCAAACTTGGTGTGTACTCGGCTCCTGTGTTTAGGTCATTGACAAAAGCTTTGAAGAGAACTGGCCCTAAAACTGAGCTTTGGGGAATACCACTAGTGACTGGCCACCAGGTCGATGTTACCCCATTTGCTGCAAGTTTTTGAGCTTGACCCATCAGCCAATTGAGCACCTACTGTATTGTGTGCGTACCTAGCTGTGTTGTCCAGAAGGATACTGTGTGAGACAGTATCAACAGCTTTGCTAAAATAAAAAAAAATCCCCGCATCTGCTGCCTTCCCTTTGTACACTAGGCAGGTAACCTTGTCATGAAAGATTAAGGGATGACTTTCCTTTTGTGAACCCATGCTGGCTTTGGCTGATGACTGCAGTGTCTTTCAGGTCTTTTTCAATAACTTCCAGAAGAATCTCCATAATTTTACCAGGCACCAGTGAAATGGACAGGCCTGTAATTACCAGGGTCATCTTTCTTGCCCTTCTTGAAAATTAGGATGACATTTGCCAGCTTCCAGTCAACTGGGACCTCTCCAGATTCCTGAGACTGTTGATAAATAACAGAGAGAGGTCTCTCAATAACATTGGCCAGCTCTTCAGTACCCTGGGATGAATCCTGTCAGGCCCTATAGAAGTGTGCATTCAGTTGCAGGCGCAAATCCTGTACAAGTTCAAAGTCAACTGGGAGCTTATCAGTCCCCCAGTTGCGGTCCTCCAGCCCAGGGCCTTGGGCCTCCCAGGGCCCATCATCGGTGTTAAAGGCAGAGGCAAAGAAAATGTTAAACGTCTCTGCTTTTTCTTCATCCCTGTTTGGGTATGAGGTGACCAACATCAAGTAATGGACGAATGTTTTCTTTTGCTGTAACATACTTCTTTAAAAAGCCTTTTCTGTTATCCACCACAGTACCAGCCAGCTTCAACTCCAACTGAGCTTGGGCCATATGAATTTTCTCCCTGTAGTGGCAAATAGCATGTCTGTAGTCCTGCTGTGTACCCTGTCCTTCCTTCCAAAGTCCATGCACTTTCTTTTTCCACCTAAATTGCAGGAGGAGATCCTTACTCAGCCAAGCCAGCCTTTTGCCTCGCTTAAGACACATTGGAATTGCCTGCTCAAGTGCTCTTGAGAGAAGGCGCTTAAAAAGTGACCAGCATTTATGGACTCTGATATCCTCAAAAGCAGATTCGCAGGGGACCTTACTAACTAGTTCCTTGAGCAGTCTAAAGTCTGCTCTCCCAAAATTCAGGGTAGTATGCTACTGTCTGCTGACAGTTTTTCTTATATCAGCAAAGATTTTGAACTCAAACTATTTCATAATCACGATGGCCAAGACAGCCACCCACGAGACCATCTGTATTTACAAACAACCATCTCTATTTACAAACAACTCCAACTTTTAAGCTCTCCAATGAAGAGGAGAGGCCTTTAGGGACCTCTTAGGCAGGCGAAGCACAGCACAAGCTGTTTAAAGGAACAGACATAATCTATGGATTCTTGGTTTTACAACTCACTGGAAATCAGAGCCATAGCTAATAGCCATATGTCTTGACTTGTGGCACCAAGGTAGCACCAATTTTTTGAACTAGCTTTGAAAATGCTTTCTCAGCCAGCCACCCAAAAAAGTAATCTGTGTGTAACAATGCCTAAGTGTAAAGCAGGGTAGGCTGCTTATTTTAGTGCTGCATTTCCTGATGTACAATCATGAAAGTTCTTGTTCAGTGGGTGTTATGGACTCATTAAGCTCTGGAATTTAAACATCAAGTGACGTTCTCAGTGTAACCTGAATTTGCTCCACAAGATGTCATCGTTTTCATGCTTTGGGTAGAGTTTAAGCTAACCATTGGTATGCTTTGCTTTAGGCTGTGGCAGCTTTTTAAGGAGGTGGATTAGAGTCTAAAGCAAAAGCAGGTGTTTCCTGAGAGTGGGTCTTTAGGCCCGTGGCTTAGAAGAGGTTATCCGGTATCATTCAGAGGTGAAACACAGTATGCTTCCACTCATCTTTCAGCTTTTCTTCTCTGTCCATTGTCCTCGTTGTCCCCCACCGTCCCGCTGTGGTGTCTCCCCCGTCTCCCCCGTCCCCCCCCCGATCCCTTTCCTGCCTTTTCCTCTAGTGGCAGCAGAGTTTCAGAGCCAGCCGGTAAATGCATATCCCTGTTGGCTCACAGGCTAAGGGAAGCTGAAATCCAGCGCATGGGGAAGTGGGTCTGCTCGCGAAGTACCGTCTGTCTTCCGACCGCTTCCAACCAAGTTTCTGCCATGTCAAATGACAGCAAGTGGTGTCCTTTCTCCCAATATATTGTGTCTCAGATTATGTGTCTGTATCCCAGGCAGCTTTCTCAGCCACATGCTCCAGAAACAGCTGCTGAACTCAATAAGGATGGAATTGACGCTGTGGCATTGTTTCTGCCTTTGCTTGCTTGAGGCAGAGTTTGTAGCTAAGAAGAGGGAGAATACCGCCTAGCATACAGAGGATGCCATGCAGTACTCGTCCTTGGTGCTGTGATTTGTCCCTCATAAGTTTGCCAATTGCCTAGAGATAGGGTGAAATTGTTTTTTTCTCAGGATGCGGTCTTTTATCTTGGACATGCTGTATTGCTGTACCTATGCCATGCGGCACTGGCTTGGGGAATGCTGTTCTGTTAGTATGGCTGAAATGACTACAACATCCATAGAGCTTGTCTGCTCCTTTGTACGCTGACCAACCTTGCCTTGGCTTTGTTTATGGATTTGTCAGCAGATCAAAGCAGGGAACAGCTGAGGTTGCCTAAATCATCCTACACATCACCCTGCCACTGCCTCGCATCATTCATGTTCCCTCCTGCATGAGTATGGGCATGTCCTCTGGCAGGCAGCAGGATCACAAGGAGGCAGTGCCTGCTTCCAGCTGGTTTGTACAGACTGGTAGCTGCTTCACCTTGCCAGGTCCCAGGCAGGTACGGCACCTTGCAGGCACATTGGCCACTGCTGCCATCTTACAAGCTATGTGGAACAGAGTTCAAGGTATGTTGCATTCCTCCTCTTTTCTGCTCCTTCTGTCATCTGGATTTGTGCTCTAAACTGAGAGGAGAGACCCCAGTCTTAGGGTCCCCGCACCAAAGCGGGGGACGATTGCAGCTGAACGTTTAAAGTGCGCAGTGTGGTCCTGTGTCAGACAGCTGATGGTGAGTGAGGGTGCAGGTCCCTCAGTGCCATTATCTTCCCACACAGGGCCTAGACATGGCTCAGACCAGATGAAAGTCACTTTGTGACCTAGCTCAGACTTTTCCCGAAGTGGGACTGAGCTCTTCCTGCCATCAGCTGTAACCAGGTCCTAGTCCTGCACACCTGAGACATCTTTTTCTTTGAGCATCAAATGCCTACAGCCTAAGCAGTACCTGTAAATTAAGGATTCCCCCAGCACATTCTCTGTGATCTAGGCCAACTGCCACAGAAAGGTTCAGGTCTGCACTCTTTAGCTGTGGCTTTATCCAAACTCTCTCAGCGTTCTCCCCAATGGTTCCTGGGTGCAGTTTTAACTGGCAAGACTTTAAAAACCATGCTGAGTTCCATTCTAACACCACCAAGGATAGGCTCCAGTGCTAAGGAATGCTCTCTGGCCCTCACGGAATGATATAAATAGTGGTGGGAAGGCACCTCTGGAGGTCTTTAGTCCAGGCTGCTGCTGCAAGTGTCACT